TTTGTATATATATATATATATATATCATTAAGAAAGAAATGTAACTTGGAGAAAAAACTGATTGCAAACTTGAAAAAAGCGCATAAATATCCGTTAAAAAATCTCATGAAACAGAAAACAAAAACAAAAAATCGTTCCCCAGTATTTTTAATCATTCAATGGTACAATGCTCCACAGACAACATTGCTATTTCTTAAGAAGTTAATAAAATTCCGACATTATTTTATGTTAGGAAACATTTAAAATATTTGTAGACTTTTATATACTGCGTAATAGAACCAAAAATTTGTCTCTAGATAATTGAAATTCTTACAATACAATAACATTTGTCTGTCAAGTGACTGCATAAATTTCGGGAATAAAGTTTTTATTAAGTTATACAAAACTTAAGTTGATTGACTTCGACTCATTGATTTTTTATTAAACCTTTAAAATTTTAATGACTCGATATAAAACATTTTAAAATTTAGTTTGGCATTTTGTTCAAAATTTAGCATTTTGTTAATTTTCTTTTTTTTTCCTTTCATCTTCGAATCTAAGAATTAATCCAATTAATATGAAATGATGAAAAAATGAACATGAAATGAAAAAATCAATACGAAATGATAAATACCAGCCTCATTCCATACGACTGAGCCCTGTCAAAGATTAAACGCTTGTTAAGTTCTATGAAATGATAATGACTTCCAACCTGAAACAAAGGGGAAAGTGTGCAGTAAAATTTAAGAACAAAATCATATTAATAATATTTTACAAAATTTTAAGCTTTAAAACACATATAATTTCTTTTAATACTAAGCATTTCCTATAATGTTCGTTTTTATTGGCAAAAGAGCAATAATATAAATAGACAGCTAAATCTCCTTTAATATTAACATGCATACCATACTAAAATATTATTACTTGAGGATAAATTGAAATCCTTTACCAGGATTCCATTAAATAATTCAACGAAATTAAAAAGTTTCTGCGAAAACATAAAAAAATATTTACAGAAAACTGAGTAATTTTACAATGATAAAAATGAGTAAAGTTTTAAAATGTAATTTTCTGGCTCATGGACAATATTCTTTTTACTGCTCTTATATTTTGCATTGCAAGAAATTCCGGATCAAATTACTGTACAAAATACAGACACTCAAGGTGCCAGTCTTTTTTACCGTAAAAGGCATTTTTATCGCTAAGTTAAGGGGAACAAAAATCTGATTTACCGATATTTTCTCAGTAATATTTACTACAAAATCATTGAATCACTGTAACTAATTAAATATTGTGGTAAAAGTCGCGGTTCAAAATGTTGCGGTTAAAATGCATTTTATGCCACACTCAGGTGGCAGTACTTTTTACCATAATTTAATCCGGGTATCTTTTACAGTGTGGGGACTTTATATTAAAGTTAAATCCACCCCTAAGACATTATCAAAAACGTGCAACTCAATCAGACACCCAGTCTGATTGAATTGGTAACTAATGAGCGTCATAGTTAACAGAGACCCTAACCACCACACCGGATGGGGAGGTTATCGACATACGAAGTATGAATAAATAAAAATTACATTGAAATATCTGTAGAGAATTTCAAAGAAAATACCGGTATTTTCAACAAACTAGATTTTTGCAAACTTTTAACTGGAGACTTCTCTGTATGAATTTGAGCAAACACAACTCTAATTAATTTACTTGAAATTCATGTTTTTCTCTCTATGCTCTAACAGAAATTTTTTAGCATATGTACGTAAGAACATATAAAATCGCATAATGTCATGAAACAGAAATACTAAAATAATCGTTTTAGAGCAATATTTTCAAAAATCATGATTATTTCTTTAAAAAAAAAAATTATATATTTTTATCATTCATGTTTGACTAATAAAATTGAATTTCGTGAACATGTATATTAAATAAAATTACCTGAATGGGTCTGTCACAGGAACTAGCAACTTTCAAGGCTATTCTTTTTCGGTCTTTGTTTATATGAATTTTTTCATCTCCTTCCTTTGGATAATAGCAACCAGGTATAATCCCTTTCGTTTCCTTCTCATATTCGGTTTCTTCCTAAAATAAAATTTTAAGAAATTGCAATTAAAAAATAACTATCGTCACTTTTTTTCGTATGCTACTTACAAACCATCACCTGAAAAACCTAAATGAGACAAATTATGAGTTACACATAGAATGAGCTTTACAAATATCTCCGTAAATGCAATACCGACTTTTTATCAAATCTTATCACTGCTTTGTTAACTACTAAATGGTATATAACACTGTAAAAATTTCGGATCAAATTATGGTTTGAAAAATCGGCAATTAGGTTACACCATAGAAATATCCATTTTTACAGTCGAATATTATATCGTTATTTTTACAAATTGTAATTTTTACTATATTTATTTAAATATTGCAAAAATTACGATTATAAAATTTTGCAATATTTATTTAAATATTGTAAATATTTATTTGAAATTAATCATTGATTTAAAGGTAATTATAAATTAAAAAATTACGTCATATAAGATTTTTTGTCCCGTAACATGTTCCGGTAAAAATGAATTTCACGGTAAAAAAACCGGCACCCTGAATGCCGCTACTTTTTAATGCAATTTCATACGACATTTTTTAACCTGCATTTCGGTGTAATATTTTACAATGCTGGTTTTTATCAAACCCTATTAATGTTATATTAACAAGTAAGATGAATATGTTCACACTGTTATTATTTAATATGGATCAATGAACTATTAATTTTATCAACAAACTATTTACTGCTATGGAGTTACAATGTGATATTTCAGTGTAATGTATTTTATCAAATCCGATAAGTTTACTATTAACCGTCAAATAGTATAAACTCAGAATAAAATAGTGATATATGCTAAAAAAGAACAAAAATTATTGAAGATATTTAGATAAAGCATTTTTTCATGAATTCGAATTAAGAATTACTTAAAAAATAATCTGATTTTTTTGAAATAAACGTCGTAGGGATAATTAAAGTAAAGTGTCTTACTTTCTGGAAGACGTTAGTATCAGGAATTGGTAAGAAACTTCCATATAGAGCAAAAGATAAATTTCCATCTTCTCTGCAAATAGGATAAGAGACCGTTACCTACGATAATAAGAAAAATCAATTAATATATTAGATGATTTTGACTCTTAAATACATAAGCTATTGCATATTCAAACTGTTATTTCAACAATTTATTTCAGTATTTAAGTATAGAACTTTAATTTTACAAAGATAGATTGAGCACAATAATCAGTTGAAATAATTTGTACGTAAATAGAATATAATCTTAATATTTCAAATTTATAGGAAAATTATTTTTAATAATTTTTAATTTCCTATTAAGGAATTTCTTTATGTTACAATCCTTCAGAAGCATTAAACAATTTAAGCAATGGTAACAACAAGCAATAAATATATTAGATGATTATGACTCTTAAATACATAATTCATTACATATTCAATTTATTTCAGTATTCAAAAATACGAATATGAATTCACTGAGGCAGATAGTGCAAAATAATCAGTTGAAATAATTTTTATGCAAACAGAATAGTGCCTTGATAATTCAAATTCATAGAAAAAATTGCTATTAATAATTGCGATTTTCTTATTGGAGAATTTCTATGCAAAGATGTTACATTTAACAATCGTTTTAACTATTTTAGCCATTAAAACAATTTAGTGGCTAATTCCTTAAATTAAAGAAAATGACAGACGAAAGCAACTTCTAAAGTAATATATCTGTGAGTTAGCTCACTTATTTCCATATGTCGTTCTATTCACTAAGTAGGAAAAGTTTTTGAGTAAATACTTTTATTTTTCCTTTTAAATATGATATAATGATATGGTGAACTGAAATTTTTTAAAAATGATACATTGATTAACTAAAAATGCTATAATAATTTGTTAAAATTAAATAAAAAAATTAATTTTTGTTGATCAATTTACTGACACCAATCTGCCGATATCCAAAGTTGGCAGACTTTTGTGAACGGATAAGTACAAATGAGAATATTTTAAAATACTTAGTATGTCGTTCAAATTTATAGTTGGTTAAAATACTGTAGAATACCTTTTGCCTGTATAAAATAAACGTCTTCTTTCTGGATACATTTTTTCTTAAATATTTTATCAAATATCTCATAATTGGTAAAAAAAATTTTTACCTGTAAATTTATTTGAATGCTCTACACAGAACAGATGTTTAATTAAATCGAAGGCTTAGATCATTTGGTTTTTAAAATTATTCAGATTCATTTATTATTTTGCATTAAATGCTTTGTAAGTTTAAAATCAGTTTAAGAAACTGTGCAAAATTAGAAACTGCATTTAACTACTTACTATGAAATATATTTAACTAAAAATACATTAAACTAGATACTTTAGTCATGAGTAGACAATTAAAGTATCTTATTAAATAAATATTAGAGTACTAGTAAATATTTTGTAAAGTAATCTCGTATTCAATGATTCTTTATTTTCTGATCCAGTTTTTTATATCTACTCAATTTTGTTAGATCCCTTCATTAAATCAATAATAGTCTTTACAGAGATACTTTTCAATAAAATAGCAGACATTACATTTTGTTTTTCAAAATACTCTCAAGAACATTTGTATCTACGTATAATACAAATTATACTTTAATAAAATGAAATTAAAGTAAAGAATTTAACAAATTTGAATAATTCTAAAAAAATAAGAAATTGTAACCATTTTTGTTCCATCAGGAAAAGTGCCTTCAACTTGAACTTCTTTAATCATATCAGCTACCCCATTCATAACTTGTCTCTGCCCTATTTAAAAATAAAAATTACATCTGAATTTTGCCTATCATTTTTTAATATTTTTAAAGAAAATCATTTTGTGCTTAATACTACTTTTTTTTCTTCAGCTTTAAATTATTTTTAACGAAACTTTACAAGGAGACAAAAATTCTGGGAAAATTACCTGATAAAATTACCCAAAAACGACTTTTCCGGTAAAAAAATAATACTTAATTCTGGTAAATGAAAATGAAATAAAGGGCATTTATGCCATTCATTTGGTACTTTTCAGTTCATATTCAAACAGTTTTAAGAATTTTCGGTTTTCAAAATAATAGTTCTTATTATACACACATTTAGTAAAAAATACAAAATTTAAAAGTAAATTTAACAGAAAAAATGCCATGCTCATGTTCAAAATGCCATGTTCTTCATTTTTTTCCATGCTTATCATGTATAATATATCAGATATTACCTTATTGACCAAATTTTATCACATATTTTAAAACCATATTATATTCTTAATTTTGTCAAAGTGCTGCGGTAAAAAATAATTAGCACCTTGGTGCTCCCATGGTGCCAAAACACGGTGACCGTAGTTTTTCTCAGTATAACATGAAAACAATGTCAAAATATTTTAGTTATGAAATTTTAATCTGTATATTTTCATCTGTAAAGGAAATTTATGACTGAGACAAAATAGCCAAACTGATATTAAATCCGTATTTTGTTCTGAAAGCGTTTTGATTTCGTTTTGCGAAATATTGCATTACGTATTTGAACGCAAATATAATTCAAGTTTCATATTTTGGTACATCTTTATTAACATTCTTAAATGGAATAGTTTTAAGTACAGAACATTAGTTTCATATTTTCTATCTAAACTTTTTATTATAGAATGATACATCACAAATTTGTATAAAAAATGCAAATTAGAAATGCCAGACGAAATCTCTATTATACTTAAAAATTATTGACAGAATTTATTTAATGTTGATAAATGTTAAAATTTATTTAATATTTATTTAATGTAAAAAAAAAAAAGTTTTAACGTTAATAAAAATATTTTATCTACAGCTTATTTATTTTTTTATCGTGTCCATGGACAATTAAATGGCCTCGTGTGCCTTCAAAACAGCATCCGCAAGCTCCAATACATCATTACTGTAAAGGATCTCACGAAGTTCTGAATCCAGTGGCACCATACCCAGTTGTAAAACATGTGGGGTAAGGACTGGACACTCGAGAATGTGATCCGGGATAAGTTGGACATCGGTGCAGTTCTTGCAGGGAATATAAGTTCTTATTTCGTCGGGAAGAATTTTCAGCCCTTTAAAGTGGTTTGTTCATAGTCTAGTAATTGTTGATGTTAAGATTCGGGAACAATCAAAGTCAGTAATGAGGGGTTTCCTGAAGAAATGGAGCAGAAGTCAGCTTATTTATTATTTATTTGAAATCACTCATGTACGTAAATCTGTTTTGCATATTCATAAAAATACAAATAGATTTCATATATAGCCTGTAGTTTAAATTCTTATAATTCGGTTAGATTTGGCAACTTTTTAATGAAAAATACAACTTCGCAACAAGTTCAATAAATAAATCATATAATTTTTTTTTTTTACTTTTCATTATAATTAGAGGTGTATAAACAAAAGTTTACAAATATTACATTTAAAAACAACTCAACTCCATACTTAACTTGGAAATGCTAAGAAAAACATTTTATAAGTGTCATATTTGATTATCAAATAACTATAAAAATATAGTTCCATAGCTGAATTATATTACAGAAACAAATATTTACTTATCTCTCTCTATAAAAAATTAAACGAATCAAATTAAAAAGGGTGGAAATTCACGTCAACCGATATTATAAAATATGAGACGACTATTTTTCGCTAAACATTTGACATTCGTCCATTCTTTCCCATATGAAAGAAAAAATGATTTAAAAAAAATATTACTCATAACTTACCCAATAATTGTTTTCCTTTATTCATCAAATCTGCAACGGTTTCTCCGTTTCTTATGAATTCCAGCAACTAAAAGAATTGAACTGTGTACTAATATTCTTTAAAAGCCAGACAAGAATTAAAAAAATTATCTTTTGTAAAAGCCAGAATGTCTTGCATTCTTTAGCTTGAATATTTAAACAAAAAGTCTCGATTAATTTTTTTAACGTTAAATAAATATTACATTTAAAGTTTTCTTTCCTTCCTGCAGAATATGAAGTGCAGAAATATGAAGCACACCGCTGTAAAATATTTAATTCTTTTATTATTTTGCTTTTTTTGCAGATAAATAAATATATGGTTTTTGCTAATTAATTCGCAGAAACTTATTAATTTATAATTTAAGTAACTAATTTAAAATTTTTAGCGATGCTTATTTTTTATTTTATTTCAAATTTGAAGTTTGAAAACAATCAGTCGAATAGATTCCTGTAAACGAGCAATTAAATCTTTAAATTTTTTTTATTAATTTTTTTAATTCTAATTTTCAATAATTATTTTTTAATTAATTTTAATTATTTTAATTTTAGTAATAATTTGGTAATATATATTTTTGTCGAAATTAACTGATTTTTAATTTATTATTTTTTAGTTTTATAATTAATAATAATTTTTAATTACAATTAATTAATTAATAAGTTAATTAATTAATAAGTTAATTAATTCATTTATTATATAAATTTTCAAATTAATTAATAATTTAAAAATTATCAAATGACAAAATGCTAGTTGATTATTTATTTTAATTATCAACTAAAATCAATTTTAATTATTAACTAAAACTAATTTTAATTTTAGTAGTTTTATGGAGGTGGTGCATGTAAGTTACAGCATCTTGGATTAGAAACAGTAACAAAATTTGTTATACAATTGTTTGTTCAAATATGCACAGTATGCATATTAATGCATTCTGAAAAATCATGCTTCATTAAAGAATATTAACTATAATTAAAGATAGCAGACTAGTATTTATCATTTATAGTACCACAAAATGTATATTTTACATTTATAATTTACAATATTTTCTGAACTAAACTCTTCGAATATAAAAAGCAAAAAAAAACCTTTTTTAAAGAATATATCTGATCGACGTACTAGTTTTGAGTGAGCACAGAAATTTTTTTTTAAGTTTGAGTACTAAAAGAAAGTCAAAAAGCATATTGAAAGTTTAAAATATTCACGTTTCGTTAATGAAAATAGTTTAAAGTATAATCTTGAATACAAAAAATGCGCATTAAAATTCAACAATTTTATAGCTAATTTGTTTCAAGCACATTGTTAAAACTTTTAAAAAAGTTTTAAAAATTAATACTTGACAAGAAATCAGAGCCACTGCCTCGGGATGATTGAGTTTGCAACCCCTGGCGAGTCTTTTTTGAGCCACATAACCAGCTTGATGAATTAGTAAATTTTCTTGTTCACGTGGGCAGAGCTTCATTTTCTGTAAAGTAAAAGTGATTTTCTTGCTTACGTTATTAATTAGCTTTATTCATGAAATGTAAATTAGACTTTGTTAAGAATTCTACTTGAAATACATTTTTTTAGTAATTTTATTTTGAACCAAAAAACATTAAAAAATTATTTTTTTTTTATTTTTCGTCAAGAGAACTAATTTTCTTTTCTTTGATTATACCTATGCAATTATTATGTAACTTAGTATTGAATGCCTACATATATATATATATATATA